CTTTAATAATAATGGTTCTTGTTGTAGGTACAAAGAGAATAGGTTTTTAAATCCTTCACTTTAATAATAATGGTTCTTGTTGTAGGTACAAAGAGAATAGGTTTTTAAATCCTTCACTTTAATAATAATGGTTCTTGTTGTAGGTACAAAGAGAATAGGTTTTTTAATCCTTCACTTTAATAATAATGGTTCTTGTTGTAGGTACAAAGAGAATAAGTTTGGAATGAGATGGAGACTCGAAAAGGAAGTTGTTCTCGGTGAGAATTTATTTAATAATGGATCAATAAAATATGAAAAGTGCGTGTTTGTTCTCAGATAAAGTTTTATAACTTTTAACTTAGTTTTTGCTCCTCCATTTTCCCACAAACTTCTGGAGACAATTCTGTTCTAGTTTATCATGTCTGGATAAACCTACTCATGTAGGCTTTTTGCTTTATGTGGGCCATTGTTTAATCCAGGTTTTCAAATAAAACATTTAATATTTTTTAAAGAGTCTTTTTTATCGTTGAATTTTGACGTGAAATATTTTTTCATTTTTTGAATAACCCTAATCTGTATTTCTGATCCGCTATTTAATTCTTACATTAAGACTTTAAATTGCTGACTGTTGAAGTAGTCTTGCCTATACATTATACATTTTTTAAACAAGTGGTTACTGTTAAGTTGAATTAGCTGTGACTATTAATTTTTAGAAGGTTTTCAAAACTATTTTATTTTTAGGTAAAGGACAGTTTGTCTGTGGCAATAAGAAATGTGACGAGGTTAAAAAATTAAGGAATGCATTTTTTTCGACCTTTCTTTTTTGATAAAATACTTCATCATATTCGTCTTATCTTCCGACCCTGGCTGGGTGCAGTTTATACATCAGGTGTTAAATACTTGATAAGAATAGGATCCAGTTTCAAGAATTTACTTATACAGCTTATAAACTCCACGAGAGAAACAGTCATTTGTTTTAAGTTGAGATGTTGGCTATATGATATACTTGATTAGAATTAAACAGTAATTGAGTTTTTGAGCTCGATAAATTTATCAAAATGATTAAGGCGTGTTTTCCATTCGGCTTTTGGTCAAAAAATTGTGCTACCACTAGGCCATCAAAAATATTATGCTAGTGCGTGATTAAAACACATAATTTTGAAATAAGTTAAATTCAGACATTTTTGCAAAAACAATTTAGAAAAAAAATCTACTAAGAACATGGGAGGTAAACTTTGCTTACGTCGAACATGGAGATAAAAAGAATGCTTTAGGTGAGTAACTTAGTAATCATTGTTAATATGTATTTGTAAAAATTAAAAAATTGAATATTTTGTTTTAAAATCCACGAAATTATTCTCAAATGTCAACTGAAGAATTAAATTTTTAGTTAAATGTCGCCTGTGTTTTGAGTGTTCATACAAGCTTAACTATCATCACAAAAAGAAGGAAGTAACGCGAAAGAAGAAGCGAAGAAAGGAAAAGAAACCTAAGAAAGGGAAGAAAAGAAGAGATAGTTCAAGCTCCTGTAGTTCTTCCGAGGAAGAAAGGAAGACTGAAGAAGAGAAAGCTGCCAAGAAGGCAGCTGAAGAAAAGGATGCTGCAGATATATGGAGCAAGCCTGTGCAAAGAGAGGAGGAAAAATCTAGGGAGGATGTTTTCAACGAATATTTAGAGGATTTATTTCTGTGATATTTCAGAGGAAATGTGCCTATTGTAACGCGGGAAAATCTGCTAATTTATTTTGAATTCTCCGCGAGAATCTTGAGATGTGATGGAGCCTGGTGGAGCAGCCTTCAACAACCCCAGCAGCGGCAAGATTGATCAGCAGCTGAAGATATTAGAGGATTTGAAGCGACAGAATAAACTTCTCAAGTCGGGTACTCCACCCAATCTTGTAATGAGCAGTGTCCCTCCAGTTTCAACACAGGTATTGAATTAAATCAAGAAATCTCACTAATAGTTTTATTTGCGAACAAGGCGGTGATTATTTCATAAAAAGTGTTTTGAAAATAAAAATATATTTTTCTTTAGATTATCTCTGATCCTCATGTTCCTAGTGGGCAGCAAAGGTCTGCACTAGAATCTGCAAATAAAACCAGTTTCGGATACTTCATTCCTCAGGTATTTTTTCCAATTTGTTTAACCTTGACAACATGTACGTTTTTTACAACATTCCAATAATTGTAAATTTTCTTCTCGATCATAAACTATAAGAGACTGGCGATGTCAATCAATTAACCCGACTTTTACAGGTTACTTTAACGATTTCCATGTTTATTCTGTAAATAGTTATTCATTATTCATGATATAAATTGTTAAGCTTAAAGACGCTCTTTCATTAACGATGTTAAAGTATGCTTATTTGTTTTTACTTTTACCGAAAGTTAAAAGAGTAATCTTGAAACTAGACGAATTTTGTTATAACTTTTTGCACACTCCGACTGTTGAAATATCATAGTTTTTTACGTATTACTCAGAATTCTAAAACCGATGTCTTAATAATATTTAATTTGTTAATAATTTTAATTCTTAACTTACACGTGTGTAAATATCGTCTAGTAAATATGGCGACAAATCTATTTAAAGAAACTCTTTTTGTCAGTTTGAAAATTACATTATATCAGATCAAGCCGAATTATCACACTTCTTAGGCTATTTTTCATGCCAGCTTATTAAACTTACACCCTGTATTTTATTATAAAACGCTTCAGACAGGGGTGTATATTTTTTCTTAAAATCCCCCCCAGGAAAATTAATTGTTCCCACAAGTTATAAAAATTTAATATTTAAGGTTTTTCGCTGAATTTGGAAAATAAATGATTTCAGGGCAAACTTCATGAATTTTGGGGTATAAAGTATTAAAAAATTCACTTGCCTTTTGATGTCCAATTTTTCAGTTTTCCACCCCAAATCATTAAAAATCATTTCTGAAAAATAAATGTCTCGGATATGTCTCAAAAAAGTATTTCACAATATTGTTGAGAGATTACAGACAACTATACTGAGATTACAGACAACTATACTGAGATTTTCTTGTTGTAGGTACAAAGAGAATAGGTTTTTAAATCCTTCACTTTAATAATAATGGTTCTTGTTGTAGGTACAAAGAGAATAGGTTTTTAATGAGATGGAGACTCGAAAAGGAAATGTTTAATAGAAAACAAAACGATTTTGATATGGGGGGGGCACAAAACTTATCCCTCTCAGGATAATTTAAAAAGTGTTTAAACACAGTCCCTGAACAGTTTTGTGCAAATAAAGCCTCCAATCCCCCCGCACGCGCATTTTAGAAAATATTTGAGATTCTTAACTTTTTCAATTTTGGCATTGTTCAAAACAAAAGTAGCATGCGAAACATCAAGGTACAGGTATATTGGGACAAGGAATTCATTTCTGTAATCAACACAGACTTTTGAGCGTTCTGATTGGCGCGCTAGCAGCCAGATGTTAAATATGTCGCACATTTTACATGTATGTCGATAATAAGGTTATTAGGCACGGAAATTCTATGTCTTGGGTTAAAAATGTAGTTTGAGCATTCTGAACGGCGCACTAGTAGCCAGCTATCACGTTTTAGGTCATCTGTCCACATATTTTTTAAGTTGCGCTCTAGTAGCCAGCTGTTTCCTTGTGGGTCAACTCAGCACAGATTTGCATGTTGTATGTCAATTTATAGGTAAATGGGCATCAGGAATTCATTTCTACGGTCAAGATGAATATTGGGATATTCTGGCCAGAGTGTTTATAGCCAGGTGTGCATCATCTTTCCACATATTTAACATGTTAGATGTCATTTTACAGGCATCTGGCAACGAGGAAGTCATTTCTCATGTAAAAATAATTTTTGGAGCACTCTCGGCGCGATGGCAGCTAGCAGTTACCTTGCGGATCATCCTACATGCAGTAATTATATCTTAGATAACTAGATGCAAGGATTATAATTCTTGGGGAAAATAACCAGCAAAGAATTCTGATAACACTAGTGGACATCTAATAGTAAGTGCGGTTCATCTTACCAAAATGCATGATTTAACGGAAAACCTCTTAGATTTCTTAAAATCCTGGTCAGTAGAGTCTTAAATTATCCACCATTATATTTAAAATTGAAGATACATGAGAAAACTTCAATAAGATGATTCATTATTAATATCATAGATTCTGGCGTGCTTGCACAATAGTTATTATGAACAGGAATGAAATCCTCAGGTCGAATTACCTATAAAATGACATACAACATGAATAACTACAGTGATAACCAGAAGACCGTGGAATAGGAACACAACATTATAGCAATAATTTGATCACTTTGATGTTGCTACTAAGCAAATAGTTATAATAGTAATTGCTGTGTCTTCTGTACATTGAAATATTTAAAGTCATAACTTTAGTCTATTAGTCGTCTTCCTAAACCAAAGTTTTCTGGGTTATCACTGTATGATAAGTTGACCCCACAACTACCTTCTTGCCAGCAGCGCGCCGATCAGAATGATCGAACATAAGTTGTAAAATCTGTTGTAACTCTGACTACAAGCGCACCGGTCAGACGGCTCCAATATTTATTATGACATCGGAAATGAATTTCTCCTTCCCAATTACCTATAAATTGACAAACACCTCGAAAAATATGTGGTTAGATGACCCGAAACGTAATAGCTAGCAAATAGCGTGCCGATCAAAGTGCTCAAACTACAGTTCATATTATGGTGTCAAGATTGCAAAATTGCGAAAAAGTAACATGTTCCACCAAAAAGCGCGCGCGCATTTTTGCTCTGATTTTCTTAAAACTGAATTTTGCAGTTACAATACATAATTTAGAGTTCACATGTAAAAAATCTGCGTTCTACGGCAATTCTTAGTTCTGTTTAAACTCTTAAAATTTTCCGGAGAGTAATACGGTTTGTCCCCTCCCCCTTCAAAATCGTTTTGTTTTCTATTAAACAACATTGGCAATGAATTTCATTTGTTATTGTTATTGTGTTTCTCTAATCCAGTAATATTGTACCTTTGATTGTGAATCTGTTGCTGTGTTTGAGGCTTGTATCTATCTATCTATCTATCTATCTATCTATCTATCTATCTGGGATTCTAAGCTTGTGAGGGGTTAGTACTCTACAGATCACTGAATGCATTTCACCCAGACAAAACAACTCTCCTCAACCTTCTCTTAATCTAGAATCTCAGGCAGGGATAAAGTGACTTTAAATGACTTTTTCGGTATATTGCTATACGTGAATCCGGCCTTCTTTCAGTATAGGTTAAATAAATATCATAACTTGAACACATGCAATTTAAGTTAACAAATTGTATACCCTGTATTTTAAATTATATACAAACTCTATTTAACTTTCATACAATAAGTTTCTATGATTAATTTATTTCCTTCACAAAATCATTCATATTCCCCTAAAAAGTTAAAAAACCTCAAACCTCAAAAAAATGTTGTCACTCTGCACTAAACTTTGTGTTAAAAAGGTAAAACTATCATTTTTTATGAGGGGGCTTTCATAATACTTTTTGCTGGAAAATCTTTTATTGGTTTAAGCTTTAAGTACATCAAAAATAAACTAGAAAAATGAATGTTATTTTTCCTTGCTTAATAAAAGGTCTGGCGTAATTCTTATTTTAAAGTTCGTTGAAATGTTATCTTTTCTTTTATGTCATATTGTTCTATGTGGTTAACACGAATTTAAACATCATTAAAAAAAAACAGTTTGATTTTGAACGAAATCTACAATGTTTTTAAATTTGTGCTTAATTGTGATAAGATGGTTGAAAGGTGTTATGTCCGTTTTGTTCCCTTTGACCTAAATATAGTTAACATTCCTTGGTTCCAATCAAGTTTATTCTATTCCGGTCATGTCTCCTTATCAATATTTCAATGTTCAGTTGAGTTGTCTTATCTATCTCTGTATATGGGCGGTTTTCCATTTATTTCTAGCCTGCAGTTCTATACACGCCATGTTTGGGGTTATCAAGAGTCGACTGATCAGCTGAAACTGGTAAAAAAAAAGAATTTCAATTAAAAAATTCAGCCAGAAATCGATAATTAGCGATTAAAATGGTTTTAAAAGATGACACATGTAAATGTACAATTTACAAATACCACAGCAAGAAACTGATTTGAGATTCAGCATTTTTCATTTTGTCGATGTTTAAAAACTTGCAAACAAAAATTACATTAAAACATAACTATTTAAATTTCTTAATTTTAGCATTAAGTGTTTTAGTTAGAATAAATTCGTGCTTTGTTTTAATAAGTTTACATGTATTTACAGAAAAGTCAAGTGATATTGTGACGTCTTGTCACTCTAAATCTTGTCTGAACAAATGCGAACTTAAAACTGTACTCGACTTTTGATATAAATGAGATGTTTTATAAAAAGAACCTACTCCCATCTTCTTTTTCAAAATTCTTGTGCTTTATTACTTAAAATAACTGACAGCCGTTAAAGACTTATCCCTAAGGTGTTGAAAAGACGACAGGGTTAAATATATGTTTTAATTAAATTCCGCCCAGTTGAGCCGGCGGGGGGGGGGGGGGAATGTCTTATTTCATTTATTGTGATTTGAATTTTTCCATAAAAAATGGGAATGATTTTTTTAGTGTAATTAGTATTTGCCCTTGTCAGGCATAGTATAATTAGTTAGATACTCGAGTCTGTGTTTATTTTAGCTGACCCAGTTTCAGGGGTTCACCCGAACTAATTTCATCGGAACTACCAGAGTTAGTCCTGGTTCTCGTTTTAATGAATAACTAACAAACTACGGAAATTTTAAAATAAGTTCACAATTTCACAATACTTTTCAACAATTTGAATATGGAATCTTGGGTTAGCTATATTATGGGCCGTAGGTAAATGATAAATTTGAGTGTTAAGATAGCGGATGTCAGCCTCAAGTTTTGTTGATTTAGTATCAAGTAGAGCTGCACTTAACTAATATTAAACTAGAGAAAAGATAAAATGCCGAATTCTGATAAAAGAGTTCAGAGTTCAAAAATGTCTTTTTTCAGCCACGTGTTTGTTTTCGAAATATCCGACATTTATATTCGGGATTTGCACAACTATTGGAAATTTCTCGAAATTTCTTGATATCGGAAATTTTAATTTTTGAAATGTTAACTTTGTGCAATTCGGTCATACCATACGATTGATTTTCTTAAAATAGAAAATTATCAACACTTTTTTTCTTAAAAACAAATATTTGAAATTAGATAAATTGATATTCTTACAGAGAAAGAGAATAGGTTTTTAAATCCTTCCCTTTGATAATAATGGTTCTTGTTGTAGGTACAAAGAGAATAGGTTTTTAGTTTTAAGAAAATATATCCGTAGAACAATTGTATATTACTGCTCTACTGCGGATATTTCCTATTTATACATTCTTCTAATCTTTAGGATTCTTCATTCGGAAATATAATACTTCCGGTTATTCCACGGTTAAACAAGAAATAGTTCCACTTCCTTCTACCTTAACAGCTTTAAGATGGCTAGAATGAAACTCAAAGAATTAGGTACGTATCCTCTGTAAATAAAAATCTTTTTTCTCTTTTAAAGTTTCGTTATTTCTTAAAATATTCGTATTCATGTTCTTCTGAACCCCCTGATGTCTGTGACATGTTGTCAACACTTGTACTCTTATTTTCTAGTCCTGATATTATTGCAACCTCATGTCATGTAGACCTTTGGATTTCAAACTGCATATTTTCAAGTGTAAACCCCGTGGATACGTTGTTTCAGCGGTTAGGAGCGCCGACCCCTATTTCATTGAATGATGGGTTGTCCTTTAATAATAATAATAATAATAGCTCCAAAGTTTAAAATAAAATGGAACAATTTTTTAAAATTTTGTTTCACATGATTAATTTTTCCTGCTAATTTAAAATTTATGCTTAGAATCTCATCTGCAAGAAGTAGAAGAGTTTGAATCCCCTAAAATACTACTAGAGCAGTATCCCACTAGACCACATATTGCAGCCTGTATGATTCATACAATGGGTGAGAAAAGTTATGATTGCTAATTGTAAGTCGACAAACAAACCTGTATAAATACATCTCAGGAATATTAATTCTCATTCCTGATATATAATCAGCATTCCTTGTGATTCTTATTATTATTTAATTTTTTTCTCAATTTATTCATTTTCCTGATTTAATTATTAATTACAGAATATATTAATTTAGCCTCAAGTTTTGACGATATCGAGAACAGGAGTATACTAGATCTAGGTTGTGGATGTGGGGTACTGTCGATAGGTTAGTTCTCATTTATAACCTTTTATCATCACTTTCCGCCTACTTCATTATTTATTTAAGCATAAACTCTCTTATTTTTGGACGTTATAACTAAACAAATGGAGTTATTTTTTCAAATTTTGAAATGAAATTTATGTGGAAAATGTAAAAAAAAAAGAAAATCCTGAAAGGAACTGTAAGCGTAATTTTAAGTGATCCTTAATGCAAAGATGGTGTTGCCCAATTCACAATGGTATCCTTGAAACCTTTATCTGATGAATATTGTGGAAGATTTTGTCGTTTTTCTAGTATTTAATTCCGTGAATTCGTTTATTTAAATATTTTCCTGTAGTGGAAATGCGCGAGTCCCTTTTACTAGGTAGAGACCCCTTAATTGAAATAATTAGTTTTAAAATTGATCTTATTGATTTCTAATTCATATTTGATCAGACAAGCTTTAAAGAACCGTTGTGAATGTGTCCTCGTCATCTTCGCATAAAAGGGAACCGTTGTGAATCGGGCATTGCCGACGTTGCATGGAGTTTCAGTCAAAATTATACTAACAGTCCCTTTGAAGATCTGCAAATCACGTCACCGAACAACTCCAAAAATTTTACACAGGTTCTTGTCCCTTTTTCATTAAAATAACTTTTTGAGATAAGACCAGGCTGTTTCTCTTGAAGTATAAGGAAGAGAATGAAGTTCTTTGTTCCTCTCTTTAATTAAGTTTCAGTGAATATTCCTGGCGGGGGTTGGGAACAATACATTAATTTCAGCTTTGGTATTAGATCTTAATTTATAAGATAACATGATATCTAATGGGAATAAATAAAGGTTCACNCTCCTCACAGATTTTCCTTTCTGATTCATTTTTTGGATTTTAGATGTGACAACGCTTATCCACATTAACTGAACTCACAGAGGAAACTAATTCAAGTATTCGAGTTTATTTCCGGGAAAGAATGATATTGGTGAATGGAGATCCTCGAAGACCCAATTAAGAAATAATCAAAAGGAAAAGGGTGGCTGAGAATTAAGGGGGGGGGCAAGGGGGGAACCTACAGTGCTTAACAGATGCAAAATACAGAAGTTTTGACCTCAGGTTGTGTTATGCTTGGGGCTGGAGCTGTTACAGGGGTGGATATCGATCCAGAGGCTCTCGACACTTTCCAGCAGAATATTGTCGACTTCGACATGGAGAATGTCGACCTAGTCAACATCGGCGTGAAGGAGGTTGACAAGGTTCTCAGACAGAAGTTCGAGGTCGTCATCATGAATCCTCCATTCGGGACAAAACACAATAAAGGTACAACAAAACTGTATATTTGGATTGACCCTCTATTTGATGAATCAAATGGACGATTCATAATGGTAGCATTTTAAACCTTTGTGGGAAACAAAAATAAGGAAAAGTCGTTTTTTGTTTTATACAGTTTTCGAATGCGATGTCTCAAAGAAATGACTTGCGGACTGGCGTAGTAGAGATAAGGAAGAAAATAGAATGAGTTTATTATTAATCGAGTTTTATGACTCATGAAATGAAGATATTAATTGAAGGTTTTTATTGTTCTGCATAATAGTTTTTTTTAATACCTGGTTTATTGTAGGTTTGGATATGTTGTTCCTGGAGCAAGGATTAAAGTTGGCTACCCGGGCAGTTTATAGTTTACATAAAACTTCTACAAGGGATCATGTTCTTAAAAAGGCAGAATCATGGGGAGCTAAACCACAAGGTAAATTTAATAGTTTATATGTTTAATTGTGAACATTTTCTCGTTGTATACATTGTAAACCAAAACTAAAAAAAGTTCGCGGATTAAAAAAAATAGATTGTGGATTTTTAAATTTAATTAAAACCCAATTTTTTTAAGGCAGATTTTTGAAACTTTGATCATTCATGAACCTTCCCTGAGAAGAATTATTTTTAAAATTCTGCTTTAGCAAAATTGCACACATGATAGGATCCCTCTATATTCATAATTCCTAACTCATTGCTGTAAAGTTTTATTATTTTCTTTAAAAATAGTTTTCTTTTGGTATGCAGGGAATGTTTTCGTACAGCGGCAACTACTTATGTGTGGGTTGTCTTTAATTTTTGGAAAGAAAAATTCGGTTTTAAACAATTTAAAAATTATTAGTATTTTAGTTGTTGCTGAGCTACGCTATGACCTGCCTGCTACCTACAAGCATCACAAGAAATCATCTGTTGATATTCACGTGGATTTCATTAGATTTGCTGTCAGCAACTACATATAATTTACCGGAGAAATCGGCTGTTGATATTAACGCGGATTTCATATGATTAGCTGTCTGAAACTAGATAAATTCAACCGGAGATATCAACTGTGGATATTCATGTGGATTTCATACGATTTGCTGTCAGCAACTAGATATATTCTACCGGAGAAATCAGCTGTTGATATTCACATGGATTTCATTAGATTTGTTGTCAAAACTAGATATATTCTTAGATCCGGAGAAAACAGCTGTTGATATTTACGAGGATTTCATTAGATTTGTTGTCAGAAACTAGATATTCTTTCGGAGAAATCAGCTGTTGATATTCACGTGGATTTCATGAGATTAGCTGCATCAGCAACTAGATAAATTCAACGGGAGATATCACCTGTTGATATTCACGTGGATTTCGTAAGATTAGCTGCCAGAAACTAGGTATTCTACCGGAGAAATCATCTGTGGATATTCAAGTGGATTTCATCAGATTAGCTGTCAGCAACTGTGACTTTGACTTATCAACCGGATAAATACATCTGATGACTAATACAGTTATCAGCTTGTGCAAACTGTTTTCTCCCAAAAACATCTGTGATTTAACTATTCTTATTAAAGATTGTAAAATCTTGAACAGTTATAACACACTACAGTGACTTATCAAGGTTTCCATGAATCCAGAAAAAAGTGTTCTCATTTATATTTTTGTTTATTTTTCAGATTTTCTTCCTTCAACTTTCTTCAAAATGTCTTGGCAAAGCTATGTTGATGACCAGCTCATTGCAACCAAGGTACATTTTAATATTCTTCGAGGCCTTTTTCTCTTATGTTTTCTCCCATTTCTTCCTCCCATTTCTTCCTCCCATTTCTTCCTTATTTCTTTCCTAACTTGATATTTCCTCGTTTTCCTTCCTTCTGTGTCAATTCTTTCACAATCCTTTCTTTTTCAATTCTGTACTCTGTACTCTGTAGTCTTGGGGTTTTTTCAAACATTACACTTCAGCCTAGTTATAGATTGAATTCTCTCATAGTCTTCTCTCAATCGGACTTCAGGGTTTATGTTATTACCAGCACTCAAGATGTTCACAATTATTTTTGCAACATCAGACGTTAAATTATTTTTGCAACTTCAGACGTTAAATTACTTTTGTTTAGGTCATCAAGGACGCCATAATCTGCGGACACGATGGTAATGTCTGGGCCACCAGTCCTGGCCTTAGCGCTACACCCGCCGAACTAAAGGTATTGATACATTAACTTAGTCTTATTCAATCGTTACACCCGCCGAACTAAAGGTATTGACATACATGCAGTTATTATCCTAGCGGCACACCCGCCGAACTAAAGTTATTGACACATATACAGTTCTTATCCTAGCGCTACATCCGCCGAAATAAAGGTATTGACACATTTACAGTTCTTATCCCAGCAATACACCCGCCGATTTAAAGGTATTGACACATTTACTTGTTCTTATCCTAGCGCTTCACCCGCCGAACTAGAGGTATTGGTACATTAACATTTCTTATCCTAGCAAAACACCCGCCAAACTAAAGTTATTTTCACATTTATAGCTCTTATCCTAGCGCTACACCCGAACTAACGATATTGTAGCTCTTTACGGTTGAGCGCTACGCCCGCCAAACTTATTGTAGATCAAACTTCTATTTTAAGCCCTAAAGTACTCGCAGTTATTTATCTAAATGAATTTAGTCTTACAATTGCTGATAAACTTGCGAATTTATTTTCACTTCAATGTCAAAAAAGGGATTGTTTACAGTGTATTCAAAGTTGTCACAACCCCAAAAGTCTCCAATTTTGCAGAAAGAAACCTTCAATATTTTATAATTGACTCAAGATATCTATTTCTGTGTTTAAATCTTGTTTTTATTTAGACTATTATCACAAACCTGGGGAATAGTGAAGCTCTCGTCAATGGAGTTACCCTTGCAGGAATCAAGTAAGTTATAAGATGCATCTATATTCTCAGGAAGGGGTGCAAGCTATTTTTACTGACATAAAAATCATTTTGAAAATCTCTACTATTTACTATTATGATAAGTTCAATATTCTGTTGAAGAGTGCTCTCTTATCTTAAATCTAAATGAAAACTAGTGTAAACGAGGTTATTAACCTCGCCTTAATGTTGATATATTCTTGTTTCTTTTTACGTCACTGTAATATTGTCCTGTATTCTTTAAGCTCTGTATGCTGGAGAATTTGTTATGATAAGTTGAAAGGAGGGGGAAATTTCAGTAGTCTTGTTTTTCTAACTTAAACTTTAAACTTTTTTCTCTCTATTATATACAATGCTAAGAGAAGAGGGATAGGGATAATACGAGATGTCCACATAACGACAGGACAATTTCGTGTACTAAGAGAATTATCACGGGTTTAAAGATTGTTTTTGAGACCCCTATAATTAACTTGGTACTTTTCTGGTGTGGATCTTATTTACTTTTGCTTGGCAAAATTGGCTTAAAAATCTAACTAAGGTTAATTGATAGGCATATCGGTTAATTTCAGGCACCCTACCGTAGATACTATTTAGACGCTCTTAAATAGAACACTCTTACATGTATTTGATATAGTCTGTATCTAGGTACATGTACCTCTCCGGGAACCCCTTCATGTATTTGATATAGTCTGTATCTAGGTACATGTACCTCTCCGGGAACTTAAATAGAACCCCTATATGTATTTGATATTGTCTGTATTTAGGTACATGTACCTCTCCGGGAACTTTAATAGAACCCCTACATGTATTTTATATAGCCTGTATCTAGAGTACTTCTCCGGGAACTTGAATAGAACCCCTACATGTATTTGATATTGTCTGTGTCTAGGTACATGCACCTCTCCGGGAACTTAAACAGAACCCCTACATGTATTTGATTTAGCCTGTATCTAGGTACATGTACCTCTCCGGGAATGAGAAGGTTATCCGAGCAAGGAAGGGAACCTCTGGTATTCACGTCATGAAAACCGTACAGGTAAACCCATTTTCTTTTTCTCAACCGGAAACTTCAGGGAGTATCGAAAAAGGAAACTCTTTTTTAAATCGCAGTTTTTTTTAAGGTCTTGTGAAAATACTAAGAGAAATGAAAAATGAATATTTTTTCTCAATGATATTAAGGAAAATTATATGTCTTATCGCATTCTTGAAATGCTCGAAAAGTTTCTGGTTTTTTGTATTCCAGCTTTTCCCTCATCCCTTGCTTCGAATTTAACGTAAATTTTTAATATTTAAACTTTTTATCCATTGTATTCCTCAGGAATATAAAGTAGGTTTAACATGAATATATATATTCAGGCGGTGATCGTGTGTAGATACGAGGAACCTATTGTAGCCGAGCAGGTTAGTTCAAGGAGTTCATTTTTTTCATTCAACCAAACTTTTTATTATTCATTATATTGGTTGGTTCTGGGGTTCAGATTTTATCTAAAAGATACTATTTGTGGTAGAGACTTGGATACTATCCGTGACAGACTAAATGTTGTTAAGTAGCATTTTTGGGGTGTAATTGGTGTATAATGTTCATACAGATTAATCCTAGATGAACCGTATTGCAATTCATCATTTAGTTATTTACATAGTTAGTCACTGCACTATGTATTAGTTGTTAGTGAGATTCTATGATTGCATTTATTGTTATATTTTCACGAATTTGCGATTTATGATTTTTTTAGTCATTTTGAATTTGGCGTAGAAAGATTGATTGATGTGAATTGAATATAAAATGATATCTCTAGGCTGCAACTGTGACTGAGAAGCTTGGAGACTATCTGATCAGTGTAGGATACTAGACAGTAAACACAGGAATATTATCCGTTAATCAAAATTCAAATATATCAATTGCTGGCTTTTCAGGGGTCATTTTCTCATACAACCATCCCCCCCACTCGAAAATCTTTTTCCCCTTTGCCTTGTGATACAGGAGATAAAGAAAGCATATCTTCTCTATGGAGATATGTTGATACAAACTCCTGAGATTAATTTGATGAATGAACAAGTTCAGTTCCACCTTGAGATTCAGGCCTGAATCTACTATTCATCAAACAAAACTATTTTTGATTCCTCTTTTTTTTAATTAAACGGTTTGCCTAATGAGATTTGTTGTCCCAAATAGTTAAAATGAAGCATCCCTTAAATTAATTGACTTTTTTCTTAAAATCTGGTTTAGGAAAATATTCGGGCGAGGGGGGGGGGGAGTGTAGAGGAGAGGGAGGTGGTGAATTTTCATAAAATTAATAGATCAAATATTAATTGAAATGTTATATTTCTTCTCAACTGGTCTTAAATCAGTTTTGTTCCAAATATCCGTATAAAAATAAGTTGGCAAATTAAATTTGATTTGATTTGTTTTTCCCTGAAAGCGTTGAAAATATTTTTAATTGAGAATTCTTGACAAATATTTTTAACGGATAATAATTTCAGGATTGACAGAATATGCTCCGGGCTTGGATCTGAATTTTGCTTTTCCTTTTTTTACATTTTTATGTGAAAATGCTAATACTAAGTTATTTTTGTACGTTTCAGTGCGTTTTCGGTAATTTTATCCCTTCTCTTCTAATTCTACTTAAAACCAATCTTCCAATAGAACCGGTTTCTAATCCACACTTTTGTAACAATTGTATTTATAAGTATTTATATTAAACCTATTGGCAACAAATAAAATGTGTGTTCTTACTTTTTTTTCTCAATTAACATTTTCAGATTAATATTAAAATGAAGTTGATTGTTTGAATATTGAAAGATTACTTTGAGAAGTAGTGACCAGACAGGTATTGTAGAAGTGATTAACTCAATAAAGCAAGTTTGTTCTGTGATTTTTTCAGTTACATTCTCCTGAAGTCTTAGTATGTGTTATATGTCATCTCAATTGGGGTTGAAATCCAAATTTTGGTTTAAATAAGTGGAATTTTTTATAGTTGAGAACGGTTCAATTTATAAATTTTAAGCTTGAAGAAACTATTTTTTTAAGTTTTCTTAGTCTGGTTTTCCTTTAAGAGACCTCTAATTGCATGTTATTTCTTGAATTAAACGATAAACGTCGAACCAAGAAATATTTCTTGGCTCTTATTTGACATTTAGGAACAGAACAACTTGACATTAAAAAAATGAGCGTCGAAATGTATGAATATGTTAATTGCGTCTTATGTCTTTTCTTTTTAGTTGCAACTTATGTTGTGAATCTTGGGATAAAGCATTGATTAACATTTTATGCAGATCTAAGAATTAATTTACTCCTCTTGGTGTCTTCAATAATATATTGAATATTTGTGATACTACTGGTAAGTTATGTTGAATATTTGTGATACTACTGGTAAACTATATTGAATATTTGTGATACTACTGGTAAACCAGTGCTTAGGATCCATTGGATTTTGATGCGGATCCGGATCTGCACTGGAGAAAAATGGTCATTTCTTTAAGATTTACTACGTTTTTTAACAAAAATTAATTTCAAATTTTTTGTTTTATTTTTTTTCGCATATTTTTATCCTAAAACTTGATGAACCATTCAGAAATGAGGAACATTTTATAATCTCTCTTTTTTCAGAAGTTCAGATTTGTGTTTTAGGAGTAAAAAAGTTTTTTTGCAGTTTTTGATTTATATTTTACACCTTGGATCCGCATATTTTTGCGGATCCGGATCCAGGAAGCCAAAATCTTGCGGATCCAACCGATCCGGATCCTAAGCTTTGTATAGTTAACTTCAAATATTGTAAGAATTTCGGATTTAAAAGTTAGAATTTTGTTATTGAAAGTTTCTTGAAATATTTGAATTGTTAAAATTGGCCAATATATCTTCAAAACAAGGTTGACTAGACAAAATAAGATGACTCGACGAAATGTCTAATTTATATAATTATTTTATGGTCAGGTTACTGTTACCCTCTTGTATTTCTTCTCCCCCCCCCCCTTCTAAGTAAAGGGAGGAACTCTTAATTATGATAATTTTATGATTTAATATACTCTAAACCTTCACGCCATGAATTTTACAAGAGGAAGAAAAGAATTATTTACCACTCCTTAAGGGTGAAAATGAGGAATAATCAGAGACGGAGGAGATGTATACTAGCGTTCCCTAGGGATGGAGAGTTGCTGATTTTATCTATCCATAAAGGGGAACGGGTTAAAGAAACCCTCTGCTCCTCCCCGCTTTTACTGGAGGGGTTTAAATCAGAGGGAATTTTGCCACCATGAGAAATGTTTGGGTATCCTCATAGTACTCAAATATATTAGGGTATTTCCTAATATTGTGAAATGCCTAAGCTTGTCCTAATATTGTGAAATGCCTAATCATCGTGGCGAAATATATTCGGGTATATAAAGAGACCAAATTTTGGTTTCCTTAGTCTATGTATTCCAGCTACAGTGAAAACATCTCCTCCCCTTTGATCTTCCTTTAACCATGGGTAAGCCTATATTAACATGCTATAATTTAACTATGTCTTAACATTTTTAACTTAGTATTATCGAAACCACTTGTAATTCTAAATTGTAATGTTGTAATATAAGACTAACATATTTTAACTTAAAAATAAATCCGTAGATATAATCCCAATCTTTTCTTAAGTATTCAGAACTTAGAGAATTTTGAATAAGTTCATATGGATAACGTAATTATAAGGTCTCTTTATTTTCAATTTAGAGAAAACCTATATAATAAGATCTGGTGTGATTATCAATTCTTAGAATTAAATCCATTCTTCCATCTCGATATCCATCCTAAGCAGAGAATAGTTATTTGGTTAATGAGTCATAAGTTAGTTGAGAAGTTGCAACTGAACACCCCTAAATTAAATTTTGCCAATTAATAATATTACTAGCTTGATAACCCAGCGCGGACCATGGAAGTCATAGTTGGTCCCACCGTTTACACGGCACTTGTAAATTACGATCGATCCACCCATTATAGAATATCAAAACCAAGCTAAGAGCCTTCCCATGGTTCTCCCCAGTTCCCCCATCAAAAATTGAGGCAAATTGGTCCATTGGTTGCCGAGTAATGATCAGACAAACAGATAAACAAACAAACAGAAATTATAATTTTATATAGACACGATAATATTTAGTTAAAATGGATTCTGAGAATATCGCACAGGTGATGGAGGAGACAACCCTCACCAGAATCAGGAATATATTCATCCTATTTTCACGACGAAGAAGACTTTCTCATTTTTTATTTTTGGGGCGCCTGGACAATCTTTTGAGACCAAGGAGGCAAACTCCGAAAAAGACGATGCCCGGAGAGAACAAAGAAAAACTTCTTAAATGTTAAACTCGGGAGTAATTAAAATTTATAAGTACAAGGCTAGCGCCAAACTTCTATTTAACCTTTAATTGTTGCTCAATCGTTCCTCATGTTCTCTTTGATGAAACAATAATTATTTTTGTTTCGGATTTAAAAGTTTGTTTTTGTGGACTTTCAAAATGTTGCGATAATCAAAAGCTTTTGGACACAAATATTTGTAATTTTGAGCCTCCTTAAACCTTCATGGGAGCCGTGAGGTCCCACATAAAATTTTTTACATGAAAAACATAAGCTTCTTTAGAAAAAATTATTCATTAAGATATATTTTAATTATTATTTTTGAATGTATGGTTTGGTCAGGTTGCTGCTAAACGATCAGAAAGTGAAGCTTTGGGAACCACCTTACTACAACAAGGCAGATAGCTCACTTAGTCTGATTAATAAGTTACTTATGAGATTTATTTAATTTTCCTTATGTTTAATTTTCTAATCCCTACAACTTTACTACCAAGCAGACTCAGCAGAGGCTTAAATTAGTAATGATTTAGTAAACCTGTGATATTTCAAACTAAATTAAAAATTAAATCCATCAGTCAAAGTTAAAATACTCAAAGGTTTTAAATATTAATTAATAATTTGCACAAATAGAAAATGATTTAAGATAAAAAAAACTAATGAAGAGAATAAGATTATGGGCCAAATAGTCGTGGTATATTTATATATTATTATTTTAATTATTCTACTGGAGTTTGTGTTAATTTTGTTGATAGTTGATCCGGATTTCAGGATTTGAATCAAGCAGACGAGAAACAGATTCACGAATTAGGTTTTTAGATCATTAAAGGAAGATAAAGAAATTATTTTTTTATTTCAAGGGTGTATTTTATATATTCGCTGAATTTTATTTCTTTGTGGGAAAAATGCATTTTGCTTAAAAATTACCAAAAGGGAACTTGCCGTTTGATGATTGATCTTAATTTTTTCTCGGAGGGTAGTTCTTGAAAATATAAATCTCTAGTAAAGTTTTTTTGAGTTATTTTTTACTAGTATATTAGAGTTATATATTTGTTTACAATATTAGATCTCAGTTGACAAGAAACTCGTGATCTTATTTCTACAATTTCAACAAGTAATTAGTTATGAAATCAATAAGCAAGTCCTTTAATGATGGTGCTTGCTATAGCTGGAGTTATCAAACCGGATCTAGAACTGCCATTACCTCATATATTCCAGGTTTATAGAACATATCAAGTTGTCAATGTTACTGTTGTTATGCCCTAGTCAGGCTTAAATCTCCTGGTTTGATTGTGATCGCAACCCGAACCCTAAAAGGCTAAGGAGCTACTGGACAAACCTTTGCTATTTGATTTGATTCGATTCGATTCGATTCGATTCGATTCGATTCGATTCAATTCCATTCCATTTGATTCTATTTTAATTGATTTTAATTGATTTGATTTAGTTTTATTTTGTTTTATTTTATTGATTTGATTTCATTAAACGGGTTTACAGAAATTATCAATTTTCAATACTATCATTACATTTATGATAGACTAGCAGAGCTTGTGTACCCAGTTTTGCCTCTGAATAAAATTTCCATGTATAAATAATATAAGAGTTTTTAAATCAAGGCAAGTCAGTCTAGGGGTTAATGAATCATGTTCGGACAATCAAACAGAGATTACTACTTTTTATTTATTAACATGGATTATTTGGAAAGAAATTTTGAATATCGTCGAACGACACGATTATCAATTATTATTACTATTAAATAGTATTGTTATCATCATTGTTTTTGATTTCAGGGTTTACTGATGCTTCAACAAAATGCCTTAGAAAAATTAGCTGCAAGAAATAGGTATATCAATAAATATTCAATTTAATTAATAAAACGAAATTGTTATTCAGAATATTCATACCATTCTTATTATTTAATTTCTTATATGATTAAAATTATTTTCTTCCAAAATCCAGAATTAGAGACCTCTGATCATAAATTCTTAATTCTAAAGCATCCGATCCTCTAACATTTTTTAAGCCCTCCTTGTTAGGCTTGAGATTCAAGTCTTGAAATTTTGGACTGAAATAAAAGTCCTTTTATCTAACTAAACGTATTGAAAACTTCCAATCTCATAGTTTAGAAAAACATGTATTCTCTTAAGGTTTTCAGAGAGTGGAGTTTTGAACCTGAGATTAAAGTTTGGACGAACCCTGAAATCAAGATTAAGAAACGTGGAGATAAATGCAGAGGAGATGGGAACTGTCCTTGTCAACAAAGTGAGAGCTCATTTTTTCCACCTTGATTTTTGCCTCTTCTGAAAAATTAACTTTACGAAAATAGTTTCTTAGCCCAAAGTTGACTTTTACTTTATCAAGGTTTGCCCTTTTGAAGTCAGTCTTTAAATCAATATTTTTAGAAATTTAGATTTTTAACAATCGCTTTTCCTGGGCCTGAACCAAGATGTTTGCTAATTTTTCGGTTAAACATGTCTGAACTGTCAGCAAACTTTGGCAATAAACTAAATTCAAATTTAATAATTCCCGATCTGAGAAGAATAAGAGCTGAACGCCGCGTAATATATTAGATAAGCACGATGGTGGATCGGAATCCCGCCATGTTGAAATTAATCTCTGGAGGGAAAGTTATCCAAGAGAATGTGTCCTTGAAGGAACAGGTAAAACTACTTTGTAATCATTTATTTTCTCCAGTATGTAGGAATTTTCTTCGCTGTTGTTGACATACCCATTACCCCCTACCCAGTACCCAGATTAGTTAATTTTTAAATTTTTCTGCCAATTTTTGTAATTGCTGTTATTGACACACAAAACACGGTTAATTATCTTTAATGATTTTAATTAATAATAATAATAATAATTAGATAAAAGAGAATGGAAAGGATTGCATTCTTTCTGCAAGATAACTTTTGAAAAAGAAAACTTAAAGTACTAGTTGTACAATTTACAGTTGTTTATATACAGGGTGTAAAAACAAGCAGTACTGTTATGGTTCTCCTTATATCATCAAGTCAAAGTGTCCAGGTAGTAAAGATTGTAAAGATATTTCGAAATACATATAATTTACCAAAAATTAATTGAGCTACGAATATTAACTTGAAGGGATTATCGAGTATCGACGTCATTTAATTTAAAGAAACTTAATGTCGATTTATAATGGCACTGTTACATTTTTTGTGTGATACAACATCTTCTTTTTATCTCAAAACTTGCATTTGTGTTTAAAATTGATTTGCGGATTCATGCTGCACAGCCAAAGACGGACATTGAGAGAACGTGCAATATACATATTTTCAAAACAATAAAACACCTGATAGAAATAGTATTAGGCACACTGCTGAAAATGAACTATCAGGATTCAAGTCAAAACACCTAATTTGTTTCGGAATAATATTAATATGCAGGCTTCTGAGTTATAATCTAAATTTCAGAAAATTTTAAGTAAACCCATTTTCAAGAAATTGTAGAAATCAAATGCATTTTAAAGTCTAAACTCAGTCGTAACTGTAGGTTCAAAGATTAATCAAGATTATTCTGTGTTTTTTGCGATATTTTTAGATATGGCAGGGTCTCCAAATTTTGTGAATTTTCCTTAACAGTCATAAGACATGTTTTAGCAAAAAATCAAAGCCTTAAGTTAACTGTATAATTGCCCAATTACTGAACAAAAAAAGAATTTTTAAAGTAAAATCAGTAAAAGTTTCATCAAAAAAACGTTTTCGGGTCGCATTGACTTAGGGGTATGATTTTTTGCTACAATAAGTTTCATGAATGTTAACGAAAAATAATAAAATTTGGAGACTACTGTTAAAAAATATGGTCAAAAAACCCAGAAAAAGGAGAATAAAGTCTTGAAATGAAATTTTTGTTTAATTTTCTGAAAATTGAGAATATAACTCAGTAGCCTGCATTAAACATAATCCAAAGAAAAGTTTAGGTGCTTTGACTTGAAACCTGATGGTCCATTTTCAGCAGTGTGTAGGACTAGGTTCACAATCGACAATCGACTAATATTTTGAAATCAGCAAAAAATTGCAGATGGTTGCTGAGCAGAGAAAACTGTTGGAACAAACTAAAGAAGATGCTGGAAGGTTGGGGGAGAAGAATGCTGTAAAGGATGATTATTATCTTCAGGTTAAACTAGTTTTTAGATTATTTTTTAATTTAGACAAACTTACATCGAGCAGATGCGGAAACAGGGAGGGGGGTGTAATTGCTTGAAATAATAGTTAGCTGATAAAAACTCCTATTATTCTATGATATATCTATGTAGCTGATCAGTCAGTTTACAGTACCATATACTACTCTACAATCTGCTTCAAGCTTCTGTAAGCTGCAAGAAGTCTTCTTGCCATTTCTTAAAGTAGCTGATCAGTGATCTGTCTGTTAAAAGTACCATGTACTCTGGATTCTGAAATCTGCATGCAGCTTCTGAAAGCTGCAAAGAAGTCTTCCTGTTACTTCTCAAAGTGGCTGATCAGTGATCTGTCTGTTTAAAGTACCATTCTGAAATCTGCATGCAGCTTCTGTAAGCTGCAAAGAAGTCTTCCTGTTACTTCTCAAATTAGCTGATCAGTGATCAGTCTGTTTAAAGTACCATGTACTCTGCGTTCTGAAATCTGCATGCAGCTTCTGAAAGCTGCAAAGAAGTCTTCCTGTTACTTCTCAAAGTAGCTGATCAGTGATCTGTCTGTTTAAAGTACCATTCTGAAATCTGTATGCAGCTTCAGTAAGCTGCAAAGAAGTCTTCCTGTTACTTATCGAATTAGCTGATCAGTGATCAATCTGTTTAAAGTACCATGTACTCTGCATTCTGAAATCTGCATGCAGCTTCTGAAAGCTGCAAAGAAGACGTTATATTGTTTAAGTATCTGATCTGTTCGAGGTTCTACATGTTTCTATTGTTCAGAAAATATTCTTTATTATTTATTGCCGGTCTGTTAGTCCTGTACCTCCTATCAACTAGAAATGAAGTTCTTAAATTTTCTTATTTATTTTAAAAATCCGAGAGGAAAACCCTCTCCCAGCATTTAATTACATGCTAAGGAAGTGTTTGATAATTTGCTTGCAGAAGGGGTTCGGACTGTTTCATAACTCAAATTTGGTTTTGAGTACGACATTAGATTTAAACCAGCCAGATCAAGGAGCTATTGGACATTCTTCTTGAATTGAATTAAATCAACTATTAATAAATTTCTTCATATTTTCGCATTTATTGTAAAGGTAGCTTATCAAAATATGCACCTTCAAGCTACTGTAAACTCTTAAAAAAGCTCTTCTAATCATTAATCATTATATAGGTAGCTGACCAGTCTGGTCGATCTCTACAGCTGCCAGCAGCGGAAAAGAAAGCTCTCATTATTGCCATGTCCTTGCACGAGAAGGGCAGAGCAGCACTGCTCAGCGGAGACTATTCATTAGGTATTTCATTATATGAAATGGCTGCAAATAGTTTTAGATCCTAATTTCGCATTCCTTGGAGATATTTTTGGACATTGTACAGTTCATGTAATATAATTTTTTGCATCATTTTGGTGCCCAGATCCTAGAGACAAAATATAACTTGAAAATATGCCTAGGCTAAATCCGGATCCACATTATAATGAAAAGTGTTACAACCTTTGTCCCCTTTCTTAACTTAAGTAGGATATATTGAATGAAGAATGTGAAGGGTTTAGTTGATCATATTTCATATTTATCTAATATAACTGAATTCTAGCTGTTGTGTTATTACTGGAAGCTGAATCAGAATTCTCTAACTGTAGAAGTGATCTTGTAGAACAGGAAAACATAAAATTCATATTTTACTTTTCCTTTTTTGAAAAATTTAAACATAATTTTAAACTTTTTCCACGCAAACATAAAATTTCTATTTGAACTGAAAAGAAGAAATTTTTTTATTTGCTGAATTATGAATGTTTGAAGGTTGATAATTTTGCAATCTTGAATCTGGACATAGCTTGGTGTTACCTTATGCTGCAATCTGTTAGGTAGATTTGATAAATCTTATAAAAGGAAGAGTTTATACGGCAAACAGTACAGTGTACAGTGTACAGTACACTGTAGATGGTTAACTTTACTCTGTAAACCCTGCGCTGTGCTCTGTGCAGTGAAGTTTAGAAATCCTTCTATGAGAAATATGGAACAGTGTTTTTTTTTTCAAATTGTTAGTTTATTGATTCGTTATCTAGTTTGTTGATTGATTGATTAATGATTGATTTTTTCATTTGCTGATTAATTGATTGGATGATTGATTGGTTTCAGTGAACTACCTAATGCCTGTGAACGACTGGATGCTTGTGAGCGTATGTTTAAAGCCAGCTATGGAACCAACCTAGAGCGCTTGCAGGTAATTGTATCTGAACTAGATTTAAAGTTAAGAGAGATAAATGCATGAAGAGTTGTTCACAATATCTTTATTATTAATATGATTTTCAGAATTTTTTTTTCTTTCTAAGGCTATCAAGGGTGCAACAGGTCAAGAGGCTGCTTTAATTATGCGTCTTCACTTACTTCAGGTTGGTTGTAAGGAGGAAGGAGGAGGGGGGGGGGGTAAATGATTTACTTTAGAGGGGTAACAAATCTGTAACCCAACATATTTAGAGTTTATACTATAATTTTGCTTCTTGGATTAAGTTCCGCATCTGAATGGATCCACATCAATTTTTATAAAGGATGGATTCAGCCAGTATTTAAATAAAATTCATGGAATGTACATTCCCCCCTAATTAAATATTAAAACAAATTTGCTATCCAGGGAATTGTTGCGTTTCATCTTGGTAGACAACGTGAAGCTCGTCTTCTTCTGCAAAAAACACAGATCGAAGCAGAATTACTCGATGTTAATGAACAACTACTCGAGCAGGTTGTACAACTGGGATATTCTACTACAGAAGCTAGGTATGATGATAATTAAACAGCAACGAAAAAGCTTAAACTATGGACATTGGACACATTATTACACTCAGAAGCGCCGAAAATGAAGGGTCGTCATTAAAAGATAATTAGCTAAAGTTTCCAATTTTATTACTTTAGGTTAGGATTACGAGCATCTAAAGGGGATTTAGATGGAGCAGTGGAACATATTCATAGAAGAAGAGAAGAGGGGGAAGAGATACGGTACAGTACTACTGGGGTTTTAGAAAAAATTTATTTTATAAAAAAAATGTTTGATCATATGTAGAATATTTATTTTAAGCTTGTCCTGAAAAGAGGTATTTTGAGGTAACTCTGTTTAAGTTGGTTAAAGGCTGAACAATCAGCTAACTCTAATCAAATCAAATAAATCAATTAATAGATAAATCAGAATATGAATGAAACTTTAAAACTTAGATTGTGGAGTTTGTATCTCATTAATATTTTCGCCCTTTTTTGTTAACATAGCTTTTTGTTACCATTGAATTAAGGTATATATCTTCTTAAAAACTCCATGGTAACCCCANAAAACAATTTGTTCCCAAGATTTTATTGATATTTTTGCGGATTTAAGATTTTTTGGCAAATTGCGGAAATTGTTATATTATAGATTGTTTTTGGCGAAAAAGCTTGCAAGTTGATGTCGAATTTTTTTTTCTTTCTCACATTCTTTCCTATCAACAGTCATAGCTTTCAACTGTTGCCTTGAAATTGGCCATTTTTATTAATTCTCCAATTTGACGATTTTTTATTGGCATCTATCCCGGGGTCATTTGAATTGCCATAAAAATTAAATTGGTCCCGCGTCGGTTCAGCCGTTTTGACGTTTATTCTACAAGAAGTACATATATAGATTACAGATACCTGTGAAATGATAAATATATCTAGACGGAAGGAGAAGGAGGAGAGAGAGTTGGAGAAGTTACGAAGTGAACTAGGAAAATGTTCTGATGGTTCGTGGATCAATGTGGGATATTATAAAACCCTTCTCAACATGGGATTTACGGACAAGGTTCAGATTAAACATTTTTTCCAGAATTGATAGTTTTGTTTAAGAAATACTCAATTAATTAATGTTTATCTGTTATAAGTTTAATTTTCAATTTTTAACTAATAAATTTTGTTCCAGATGTTTTCAGAAATAATTCGCCGTTTAATGGTTTTCTTCTGCTGAATTATTTACTTATTTTATAATGTTAAAGTTAGAAATCATCATTTAATAGTTTTCATCTGTTAAATTAATAAGTTTTGTCCAGCTGTGTTTTTAAGTTTGAAACACACTTGGTGATTCAAAATAGTTCTTTTTCTTATCTCTAAATTTCTCCTTCCCTTTCTTTTTTCTGTAATATTTACATATATGTACACTTTAATTTTATTTCTATATCAGTCAATCAAATTATGTGTACCCATTAACCTACGTAGTACATATCTTATAATTTTCTTAGATCTATAACTTAAAAAGGATGAAAATACCTGTTCAAAAGATACAGGGTTACCACGAAGAATAAGACTGTAAAGACGCCCTGAAACTTAAATAATATGTCGATCCCAGGGTTAAATTAATTCTACTGTCTTAAATAAACTCTTTGTATGGCTTATTTAACGATTTGAAAGAGAAAGAAAGTAGTGTACCGTTGCAAAATATCGTGATTATGAGGAAACAGACAGCATAAATTCCGTACAGTCGTCTCTAAAGTTTCATCCTAAGCTGGTAATCCTGTATGTCTATTGTCTATCTGTTGTGTAAGGTATCTGCAGCTGCATTGAGACAATCTAACAACAGTTTAAACCTTGCAGTTCAGCTACTCCAAGAGGAACCTGAGCTTATTCATCTAGCTGCCAAGGTAAACCAGGAAAAGACATAAATTCAAGTGACCATCCATTAAAAAAATGGCATCTCCGACTCACAACGGTACCCCTTAGTGTTAGATATTATTACTTTTTGTCTCTGTTGCAAAAAATCCGTGGGCCTTTTTTAGAAACACAATTAGAACTATCATTTTTGAGATAGATATTTTCATAATTTTTTTCCGGGTGTGCCATTTCAAAATACGTCGACAGGCCCTTTAATCTTATTATTTTAGTTATTATTTATAATAATAATATTCTCATTATATTTGTTTATTTGAGGAGGATAAAGTAAATGATGAGGATTTAGCTCGCCTTGTATCCCTGGGATACTCCCCGGAGATGGCGAGTATCGCCCTGGACAACGAGGGAGGGGTGGAGGAGGCGGCAGAGGCTCTAATGGCGGGCGAGGGGATCGTTACACCTCAGGTACCGACTACTTGATTGTACTGGAGAGTTAACATATTCAGTGCCGCCAGGGACCGTATTTAATTAAAAGGAGAGGTCGCTTAACTACCTACCGCCGGTTCAAATCCTTAATCACTGAATCACTCTCTAATTCTTTTAATCGATGATTCAGGATTTGAACCCCGGCAGTAGGTAGTTAAGCGACTTTTCGCAGCTCATTAAATCAGGTCCTTGGAGTATTAGATTTAGGAAAAGGGTGCCAGGGATTGATTAGAATTTACTGTGACGTATAGGGGACAGCTCATAAACTAGTTTTATCAAAAGCATTTACAAAGATTGTAAACAAAGCTCAGAAATCTTTGATATGACAAGAAACCCTGTTTTCTTATGTTAACAGTAAAACTAGCTCCAGAGCGGTCCTATTACGTCACAATATAATGTAAACAAATCTTAAAGCTATCTCTTTTCTACTCTGACTGTTTTTAGGGTTGTAATTTTTAATTTTAGCTTTAAAAAAAATTACCTTTGAAATTGAAACAAGAAAGGTTTCGGAGATTAACCATTTAATCGCTACCCTCGTTAAGCTTAAGGACCCAACAAGGTATTGGGAAGCCTCGGCAATGAAATATTCCCTTCTATACTTATTGCATCCTTGTTGCCTCGCGTGAATTATAAAAGATGTAATTTATTTAACTTTTAATCAAATTTTATGGAGATTTTTCCATTTCTTTGAAAAATAAAACATTTTAATTTACATCAAAATCTACCTTTTTCAGGTTATAAAAACTGTAAAATCTATTTAGTTTAGTAATACATATTTTCGAGTTGAGAATTTAAATCTAATTCAGGTTTTCTGAGTTGTAAACCCTCAACTTCTTGGCAGAACAATTCGCAATTAAATCCTTAGGGTTGCAATCTCGCATTGCGACCCTGATTTCAGGGTTGCAATGTAAATATCAGGGATTCAATAGTGGCATAATTTTGTGTTTAATAGTTGAGAAAAGTTATAACTTTATTAATCCATTTTATATCCCTGGTAGATTTATGTTTTAGGAAAGATATATAAGAAGTTTCTGAGAGAAATAATTTGTTTAAATTAACGTGGATTTTCTGTTCTAGGAAGGAGAACGTAAAGGGAAAAGAAAGAGGAAGGAGGAGCAGGAGGATAAGGAGGCGTATGAGAGGATCAAGGAGGGTGTAGCCAGAGGAGAAGAGGATCATCTTGATATTGATCTCAAGTAGGAACACTTTATGATTTCATAAAAAAAAAGTTTTTTGTCGTTTTATCTGTCCTTTCAAAAACCGTGAAGGACGAACGTTCCCTCCCGTTAATTGTTATTTTACAGAATTATTTTGCAGGTTAGAAAAGGAGTTCCTGGAAAAGTATCTTGAGCTTGTAAATCAACAATCTAAATCATAAAAAAAACCATATATCAATCAATCAAACTGGTGGAGAATCATATCAGTGATCATATATATATATACTAATTATGATGATTAATGATAGATCATCTAGAATTGGAAATTATTGCCTTTAAAACAAAAATTTGTAAAATCAGACCCAAATATTAATACAAAATAATTTTAAGTTGCTTGTTAATGGACTAAAACTGAGGTGTTATATTTTTTCACTTTTAAACACATTTAGATGAAGTTCAAATAAATAAATTATACGTAGACACAAAATCTTTAAATCTCGAGTATCAATTATGAACTTTCAGATGAGGAGAGAGGTATTTTGACCATTTTTCTATGGAAAAAACTTGCAGCGATAGAATTGTGTTGCAGGGAAGCAAAGCCATATTTGATGCTGAAAGACATTGTTAAGATCTTTTGTATAATCTGAAAACAATTAATTCATACCTACGTTAACAGCAATATAAAGAAATAATATCGCTTTGGTGCTTTCATATATTTTCTTTAAATATCTATGACAATAAATAAATAGTGAATAAATAAAGTTTGATTGTTATGCCTATTCTAAAATGAATAGTGATAAGCAAAAATATGAATTAAATATGAGACATGCTGCTTGAACCGCTCTGGACGATCCTAGAGCATGTTGCACGTATCAATCAGTCGATCTGAGGTCTCAATCCTACAATCCATGTTAGATCTTGCTTCCAGGCTCATCTAAATAATCAGTTGTTTTCAATTTACTTAAAGGGAGTGTTCGCGAAAAATGAAAGGGGTTATAGGCTTAATGCGACAACAAAGCGCTTTTGGATGCTACTAATCTTACTTCTATCTGTTGCGTCTATAAGGAGAAAATTGTTAAAGACGTCTCATAACGAATTACTTAGCGTCCATACAAATTGAGAAAATTGCAACATACGACTGAGACCGTAAAAAAAAATCAATATAAAGTATATACAAATGTGGCGAAAGATAATCGATGACTATAGGTTGTAATATCTGAATGATTTGTTTGATATTAAATTGATTTTTTTACAGTCTAAGTCGTATGTTGCAATTTTCTCGATTTGTATGGACGCTAAGTTATTCGGTATGAGACGTCTATAGACGCAACAGATAGAAGTAAGATTAGTAAAGATCAAAAGCGCTTTTTTATCGCATTAAGCCTATACCCCCTTTAATTTTTCGCGAACACTTCCTTTAATAAGGATTTTACTTAAAGGTGAATTCCTATTGTCACACTTTTTTACCGATCTATCATAAAATTATAAAAGTGAGAATACAAAGAAATTTTTGAGAAATAATGACCTTAGCGTCAGAAAGACCATTTGGAGATCCCTCAACAACATCTGTGTTGATGTCTTCAGCTTTGAATGGTTCAGGAAGATTGATCTGTAACAGATTCTCATGTATGTTGAATTAGGGTAATAATTATTTTTACTTTTAAACATAAAAATAATTCTTTTTTATCATATGATCTGATGTAACCTTCATCTCAATGTGGATGTTTGAGATTTCATACGCCATAATTGTCGAGTCCATCTGTTCTGATGAATCAGCTGATTGCGGTAAATCCGATACATGATCAACCACGCTGGACTGGTCGGACAGAAACCGGCTTCCAAATATCCTGAAAACATTGGTTAGATAAAATCAAGAAGGCTGACATAATTTGAATTATTTTCTATGATTCTGACCTACTAGATTGAAGGACAGATACCTCCTGACTTCTTGTGCAGGTGTCAAAAATTCTATTAAAAAAGACATTTTATTTTCATTGGGACTCTGTTAAAAATAAACTCTGTTACTTACTTGCTTGGGTCTACTCTAGCTGTGTGAGAGGCATTTAACTCTTCAATATTTTGTGGCAGAGCATAGCTAGAGAGACAGCCTGGATTAAACAAAAAAAAAGATTATGACATGATACAATACTATTAAAAGTAATTTATAAATCTATCACTCTTTTAGAATTTAAGGTCAATATTTTGTAGAATTTTTGTAAATTGGGATGGAGTGGGATGTACCTATATTAGAACGCTTGATGGCAAATGCAACTGATCTTGTTAGGACAGACATTCTAAAAATTGAGAAAAGATTTTTTAAAAAATCAAATGATTCAAATTGGCTTTACACTCATTTTATACCTATATACCTATTTAACTTGTAAGCATGCTAATAAGGAGATTCTATCTAAGTGCTAATAAACCGCTCTACCTCTACCTATTTAGCTATAAGTAAACCTCTCTACCATAGCTGCTAATGAACCTCTCTAAATCTTCCTAGTTGTAAATAATCCTCTCTACCTCAACCTACCTGCTAATGAAACTCTTTACCTCTACCTAGCTCACAATAAACCTCTCTACCTGTACCTACCTGTTGGTGAATCTTGCCACCGCTATCATTGCTACTAATGAACCTCTCTACTTCTACCTACCTGCTAATGAAACTCTTTACCTCTACCCAGCTGCTAATAAACCTCTCTACCTCTACCTACAAATGAACCTCTTTATCTGAAGCTAGCTACTAATGACACTCTAATGCTACCTTACTACTAATGAACCTTAATGAAACTCTAATCAGTAGCTGCTGCTAATGATTCTCTCTATCTCTACCTAGCTACAAATGAACCTCTCTAACTATCTGCTAATGAAACTATCTACCTCTACTTAGCTGCTAATGAAACTCTTTACCTCTATCTAGCTACTATTAAACCTCTCTACTTCTACCTAACTACTAATTTACTGCTCTATCTTTATCATATCTGTAATGAAACTCTCTACCTCTACCTAGCTACTCATTTACATCTCTATCTCTATCAAAGCTTCTATGAACTCTTTTCCATTTTAGCTATTAATGAACCTCCTTATCCATAGCTAGCTGCTAGTGAAACTCTCTTCCACAGCCTAACTACTGATGAACCTCTTTATCTGTAAGGGGGGGGGGCAAAAATATGAGCTTCCATTGGGGAAAAAATGAAGAAAAAAGGAAAAAGAGGGAAGGGAGGGGAAAAGGGGGAAGAGGGAAGGGAAGAGGGGCAAGAGGGAAGGGAAAAGGGGCAAGAGGGAAGAGAAAAGGGGGAAGAGGGAAGGTAAAAGGGGCAAGAGAAAAACCACAAAAAAAATTATACAAAAAACAGTATCAGAAATGCTTTAAAAAATCTCAGAGGGGACTTTGAAGTTGACCTTTTTAGGGCACCAAACCTCGCCATTATACTAATAAAATCCAAAAATTTTCACTGCAGTACACTTCTTCGAAGTTTGCGCGGGCTTAATAAACTTTAAAACAGACCGGTTTTTATGTCAAAAGTTTGGGGAAAAATATGATTCTGAAAAGGGGGGGGGGGTGAAATATGAGTTTCACGACTAATAAACACCCCGTCTGTAGCTAGCTTTTAATGAAACTCTCTCTAACTCTACGCTGTACTTGTACCTATACCTGAGGAATATTAAGACCTACTGAGGCCTCTGACCTACTGTATACACCTAGTTACTGCTGACATCTGCATATACAGATATATAGAGAGAGATAGATATATATTTTGAAACTAAGCAACTGTACATACAGTTAGGGGGTATTCCAAATTGTTAATTAAAATTTGAATAAAGCCAGTGCCCCATTTTTCTTGAATAACCTGAAGAGAATTGCATCAAAGTCAGCCAAAGTTTAATATTAAGGAAATTGTTCCCATTTATTTTTATATGCAATATATTTTAGAAGAACAGTTATTTGCAAATCTTTTTTTATTTTTTTATTTTGACAAAAGTTATTTTTGTTTAGAACTGATCCTTAAACATGTGATATGATTATGATTCGATTTTTACCAAAAACATAAGGATAGAATGCCACTCAAGAATCAAGATTGCCAAACCCGACATGAGAAATTGTTTTTTATGTTACCGCACAAGAGGCCGGGCTTTAGTGCAATTATCTATTCTATCGTCCATTTTTGTCTTCAAAAGTGTACTGTAGTGTTCATGTCCCACAAATATGACAGACCACAATTTGGAAATCCCAATTATTTTGTGATTTTTAACTAAGATCTTTACTTTTTAAATTTGGTTTACGAATAAATGCCGCAAAATATTTATAAAATCAAATACGACCTTCAAGTCGTCTTGTTGCTGTCATGTTTCGCTGGACACCCTGTAACCTAGCAACATGCGCAATATTTGCTGTATAATATCTTTGATATTGAGCAATTTGCTGATCCTAGAAGTTTATTAAAAAATGCAACATGAAGCAGTAGAATGTATGATGTATCCTACATCTTTAAAAATGTTTATTATTAATGGTAATAAAATAGATTTTGGAAAACTTTTTTTCTCCATCTTTGATTTTATACAAGTAGATATAATTCACAAGTGTTTTACCAGTTATCATGTTTTCAACTCGTGATATTCATTTAGCAAAAACCTTCATTTTTACCTGTTGCAGAGCAGCCATTTTTAAATTCGATTAATTTATTTAATACGTGTTTTTTTATGAAAATTTGTCTACAGGGTGTCTCAGAAAACCGTAGTGTTAGCTAATCCTTCAATTTTAGACCAATATTTGTGTATACAAGAACATTTCATTACTTTCGTAGCAAATTTTATCCAAGTTTGAAGTTTTGGAATTCCTCTGATGGATTGGCTTTGATATTAGACTTCAATACTTGCGATTTATATTTACGGGGTAATTTAAAATCGTAAGGTAACCAAGTAACTTCAACCAGCTATAGAGCAAACATTAGAAGAGAGGTGGCTACCTTGAACCCTGCAGCTATAAGAAATGTCAAAGACAGAGCATTAAAGTGCCTATCCGTATTGATTAATTTCAATTTTTTTATCGTGAACATTCATATTTTAGAGCATGAGCTCTAATAGTATAGTTATTACTGTGAGGATTAATATTTGTATTTCTGTGAATTAAGATTAAATGTTACATTTTTCTTTAGACAAATTTCAAAACTTCACACTTGAAACATAAATTACTACGAGAATAATCTCTATACTTCTATGGAGTTCTGTTAACCTAAATTTTATTTCCTCAAATCATGATATACTAGTGAAAAACTAAATTTTCTCGTAAAAATACAGTTTAACACAGAACTTTGGAGACACCCAAAAAACAGTTATAAATATCGTGTAAACAATTGTACTGTTGTTTAAAACCGAAATCTCTGTAATTGTAAGAATAAATATACGGAAACAGTTTTAAATGTCGTGTAAACAATTGTACTGTTGTTTAATACCGAAATCTCAGTAATTGTAAGAATAAATATACGGAAACAGTTTTAAATGTCGTGTAAACAATTGTACTGTTGTTTAATACCGAAATCTCAGTAATTGTAAGAATAAATATACGGAAACAGTTTTAAATGTCGTGTAAACAATTGTACTGTTGTTCAATACCGAAATCTCAGTAATTGTAAGATATAAATATACGGAAACAGTTTTAAAGAGCTCTATATAATTTATATGTTAAACACTAAATACAGGGTGTCCCACGAAACATGACAGTTGGTGAATAGTTTAGAATGTCTTCTTCCATAATTTGTTAAGTTGTTTGATACCAAAGACAATAATTCAAATACTATTTGGGAGTCATATTATAGTAAAATTGGTTTCAAAATAAAATATGTTTCAAAAAAAGATTTTTTTAACAAAATAAACTGCTGAAAGCCTTTAATATCTAACAAAATATAAAAGACGACTTTCATAACTATTTACCAACTGTCATGTTTCGTGAGACACCCTGTATCTCCAGCATTCCACAAATCAGCGATGTTTTGCTTATTTAAGAATTTAATTTTATCCGTTTTTTAATCAATTTATTAAAAATGTTGACTCTAAGAGAAGATATAAATCCTGAACAGATCAAAATCAATCGAGACTTTACAGAGAGCAATAAATGTAGTGAATACAACTTTCAGAGTCTGAATTTAATGAATTTGAGTCGCGTTTCAAATCCCCCAAAAACCGGTTTCAATGAAGCGCCGGCTTAAATCTTGAAACATTTAATACGATTTTAAGTGGAACCAACCATATTTGAGCCGCGGCTCAAATTCTTTAAATTCGGCCTCAGATATGTTAAACTTCCCCGTTTTTTTTTTGCCACATTCTGAATAATTATAAATCCTGAATGTAAAGGGTGTCCCACGAAACATGACAGTTGGAAAATAGTTTTTAATGTCTACTTCCATAATTTGTTAAGGTGTTTACACCAAAATATTTTATGACAGTCATATAATAGTAAAATTAATTTCAATGTAAATATATTTGAGTAAAAGTTTTTCAAGGAAATAAACTTCAAAAAGTCTTTAATATCTAAAAGGTATAAGATGACATTAAAACTATTAACCAACCTTAATATTTCATGAGACACCCTGTACAAAGAAACGATAAGAAACGCTGCCTACCCTTCCCTGTAGATTAATCTAAATAAAAACTAGCATCTACTGGCCAAGTTTCTAACATAATTCAATGACCCCCTACGGCTCACGGTGAACGTTACAAAGCACATCATATTTTATTTTTTTTTGGGCCTGGCCATTGATGACAAAATTACATTAAATCTTATTATCCAGATTTCAGAATTAAATAGAAAAGTTGATTTTGGACAAAGTAATTGTACATGACTATTTTTAATCGATAGAAATCGATATTGAAAATATTTGAACTTTGATCCTCTATCTGTCAAGAGCAGGAGTTTTTAGCCATTTAATAATTTGTTATTCTTTAAAGAAGAGTGTATACGGTTTAGGTCAGTAATGGAAAAAAGAACTACAACGTTTCGGATATTCTAACATTTTTCTCTAAATGTTTTCTCATATAACTGTTGACAAGTGTTTATATAAACATGCCCTCAACTCATGATATTTTTAAATATGGAAAGCCTAATTAGTGTATATATGTAGTATAATTAAAAATGTCCTAATTTCCACAGAATCATGAAGTAAAATTCTACAATGTAAAAGCGTGATAGAAGTATTGTAATTAGGAATATTGCTCAAATTAGAATTTTAAAAATGAATTATAGTTTTTTTAAATGAATAATAGTTTTTTTAAATGAATAATAGTTTTTTAAATGAATAATAGTTTTTTTAAAGTAATAATAGTTTTTTTAAATGAATTATAGTTTTTTTAAATGAATTATAGTTTTTTTTTAATGAATAATAGTTTTTTTAAATGAATAATAGTTTTTTAAATGAATAATAGTTTTTTTAAAATGAATTATAGTTTTTTTAAATGAATAATAGTTTTTTATAAATTTTAAAAATGAATAATAGTTTTTTTAAATGAATAATAGTTTTTTTAAATGAATAATAGTTTTTTAAATGAATAATAGTTTTTTTAAATGAATAATAGTTTTTTTAAATGAATAATAGTTTTAAAATGAATTATAGTTTTTTAAATGAATTACTTTTGAGAACTTGAACGATAATTTGTTTTTAACCCTGCTATCAATACAACCATCAAAGAGATATGTATTGTAAAATAGTGACATAACTCAAGGACAATGTATTGGGCTTAGTTTTTGCATGCTGAAACTATAGTGTATAAAGATCATTGATGCAATATGAAACGCACTGTATATTTTTCTTATAAGCTTAATAAGACGGTAAAACTAGAAAATTACTGCTGTATGGGTAGTAAACCTTAAAAATATGAAAACTTTATCTGTTTATAAAGCAGGGAAGTGCTTACAGGGTGTCCCAATTAACATGGGAATTCAGTGACGAATTTGATATAGGCTTTTTTGAACAATTCTTTGATTTGATATAGTGATACCTACTGAGAAAGCTGTAATCTGTTAGAGTTTCGTCTGCTATGTTCACATTTTGTTTGTTTATGTTTTGACTGCATACGGTTGTATACTTGTATATCTTGTTGAGACATTATAGACACATCTTTACAGCCACTTAGCGTTTTCATAAAATAAACTCTAGCAGACATAGTAATATTATGGCTTATGAAATTAGGTATTACAATGCTAATTCATAACAAAGACGATATCGAATTCGTCACTGAATTCCCATGTTTTTAGGGACACCCTGTAGGTTCCTGATCCGCAATATTTTGGGACACCCTGTAGGTTCCTGATCCGCAATATCTTGGCTTCCTGGATCTTTCCCTCTCAAAATACAAATCTCAACTGTTAACTAATCAGCGATTTTTTAAATTTCATAAAAATAAGTGAAAAAATTATGAAAATTTGTTAGATAAATGAGGAACTCTTGAAGAAATATTTATGACCTGGATCCGGGTCCGGTTTTTTGGATCCATTAATTTTCAGGACAGATACAGAGGCCGAATCCGGATCCGGATATAATTGAAATGGATCCTAAGCACTGATTTAAACATGTTTGTGTTTGCATGAACGGTTGTGCTGTGAACTTGTGGGTGTGTGGGTCTGGAATCTCTGGAATGCTGAGAATGTCAAGGATTTGTTTCTTAGGTAGATGGTCAACCCGGTCTATCTATCTATCTATCTAGAAGTGAATTTATCTGCGTATCCTATACCTATCCAAGGAGTACGAAATAGAAGAGGGATACAACCAGGGAGCAAGGAATAGAAGGGAGAGACAACTGACGCGGTTCGCCCTACCATATGATTTTACATGCTTTGCAGACGGTACTCCATTTTATATCGAGCTGTTTGGTTTCTTTAGTAGGGCCCCACAGGAAAAATATGTATTGGCTCAATTTTCTTTGACCAGTTTCGCGTCAGTTGTCTCTCCCTTCTATTCCTTGCTCCCTGGATACAACTGAAGCGGCCCGCCCTACCATATGATTATACATGCTTTGCAGACGGGTACTACATTTGTGTAAGAAATATTCAGAATAGGTTATTGTATACGCGGTAATTGTACATCAGACAAATATTTCTTATGCAAATGAAGTACCGTCTGCAAAGCATGTATAATCATATGGTCAGTTATATCTCCCTTATATTTCATACTCCTTGATCCTATCCCTGCAATCTGCATTTATCTCCTTCAAACCCTGAAGTTTGCAGACAGAAAAATTCTCAAATTTCATTTCCGCAGAAAATGTATGATTAGTTTTGTTTAGCTGTCAAAATAACATTATCAAATTTCAACCTTCCTTATCCAAAATATTCTTCAAGAAAGAGGATATTTTATTATACAAAACTAGCTTAAACATTGTGCTTAAAAGTTGGTAATAATGAAATAGTTTGATTTAAAAACTTTTATGTTCATCACGATTCAGAATGTACTGATATATATAATGAACCCAACTGAATAAATAATATTAAATAGTTCATTTAAAAAAAAAACATTTTCTAATAACAATTTTAGCTTTCAACTTTTCAAGTTCCAAATTTTCATCGAAGTTTGCAATGAAAATTCTCACGGATTGGTAAATTTTGAAAAAATAAATGTTGACTTTTTTAATTTGAGCGTCCATAAAGTTTTCCTATGCCCGATCTGTTCAGCGGTTTAAACGTTTATTGCAAACAAACACACAGACAAAACGAATTTATAAAAAAGTTTAAGATAACGTTCACATTTTACAGATTTCTTCGACGCAATGCTAGAAAGAGTATTTGGAAACCTGGCTCACAATTTATTTATTGATAAATCACTGAACAAGATGGTATTGGTCAATTGTCAGTGAACACTTAATATCCTTTAATATGTGAATTTCAAGTGAAAAATAAAAATGAGCATGCCGTGCCACTGAAAGATATCCATCAGTTCTGAATTACAGAAAATAAAAGCATTTTGACATCCAGTTAGTTTTTCTGATTTCATCGGTGCAGAACAGTGCATATTACTTTATCCTGAACCAACAAACTGGAAATAAAAAAGGTTAAAATGATTTTCTTTTGTATTCCTTCTGCACGGATGATGTCATTTAAATTAAGGGGGAACATGATCCTGCATTTTTAATATTGATAATTAGAATTTAGGATCAATCAGAAGTACAAAACCTTTTTTTTATAATTAGAATTTAGGATTAATCAGACGTACAAAACCTTTTTTTTTGATAATTAGAATTTAGGATTAATCAGACGTACAAAACCTTTTTTTTGTAAATTCGAATTTAGGATTAATCAGAAGTACAAAATCTTTTTTCAAATATTTCAAGTGGTTTTTGAAAATTAAGAATCGTTTTACAAATACGAAAGAAGACCATTAGAGTAGCGTACAGTGAGGTCCATAAACAGTGTTTATAGCGCCATTTCAATTCAAAAGTTGAGTTTCAATCTGATGGAACTTTTCTTAATATGTAACGACATCAATTTCACACAAAATTGCTACATCGTCTTCTTATCGTATCATGTGTCACTGTCTCAGAATATATATATTCTGATGTCACTGTAAATAACTTAATATTCTAGTTAACCTGGATGTCCTAGATATTCTAGATATCATAGATATTTTAGATATCATATTTAGTTATCCTAGATATTCAATATATTCTAGATATTCTAGACATCCTAGATATTCTAGATATCCTAGACATTCTAGACATCCTAGATATTCTAGATATCCTAGATATTCTAGATATTCTAGACATCCTAGATATTCTAGATATCCAAGATATTTTAGATATCAAAGATATTCTAGATATCCTAGATATTCTAGACATTCTAGATATCCTAGATATTCTAGATATCCTAGATATATATATATATACATATATATATATAAAGTTGTAATCTCTGTTTGTCTGTCGGTTTGTTCATCCGATTTTTAATTGGGGAGCCACGGGAGTGTTCTTTGCTTGGTTTTGAGATTGTAAGTTCATTTAGTCTCTAAAAATCGACCAAGTCCGGGTAAACAGCGGGAGTAACTATGAGTACCCTGGGCAACACTGGGCTCCCAACCTAGTACTAGATATTACAGATATTTCAGATATATAAGATATTCTAGTAAACCTAGATATTCAATATACTCTAGATATTCTAGATATCCTAGATACTCAAGTTATCCTAGATATTATAAATTCTAGATATTCAGAATATCCACAAAATACGATGTATCCTGAATATTCCGATTATCTTAATATTTCTGTATATATCACCTCTGAGATTGAAGAAAGCCAATCTGAAACAAAGATGGCAAAATATGAAGATCAGTAATACGCTAAACCATGCGTAATACAGGGGAAATAATTACTAAATTTTTTATAATCAATTTTATATTTTTGTTTTTGAATTTTCTTAAATCAATTTAGATGATACTCGGTAGATATTTTCTGTCAAGAACATTCTGCCCTGTTATGGGTTGGAACACAGCACAGGCTTGGCAGTTGTATATCCCTGCTTGAGAAGTGAAGACGTTGAACGGGTTGCTCCAAGTTTACTCCAGACAGTGTTTATACCTCGGGGCGAGGAAATCTAAAGGAAACGAGGGAAATTAGAGTGAAACTGTGTGACCAAACATTACAAGTTACATCATAACCTTGTCTTTAAATCTATCCTGATTAGTTCTATTAGAAGTTAAAACAAACTTAGAACCGGGTAGTTTCATTCCTAGACTATACGCTGAACCAGGTACCTGCAAAACCCACCCATAATCTCATCTCTTGAAAAAAATCTTTTATTTTACATTTTATTGTTTTACTACTAGTTTCCAACCTTTACAACTAGAGGTTTTAAGATTTTGAAAGTTTTGTGGTCTAAAGATTAATATGCTGAAAACCTGGTAGTTAAATATTTGTAATAAAACATGGACTGAGAACATATTCTTCTCTCTCCAAGTCTTATTGGAGATAATATATGTTACAAAACATGATATTCAGTCAAATAAAACAATATGTTGGCACCTTGTTTATCGGAATTATTTTAATATCATCTGTCATCACAATTCGAAGTTGCCAAGAAGTTCAATGATTTTATGCTTTCGACAAATAAAAAGCTCTGAGTTGGTTTTGCATGAAATGATATTGCAGGAAGACTGGACTCGGAGAGCGGAGAAGATTAATCCGGAAAGTTCAACCATCCGATAAACTCATCGGAGAGCAGTTCATTCGTCCTGGTACGTCCAGGTCTAATGAGCACCTAGAGTTGAACTAAACCATGATGTGAAAGTGATCAATAATCCCCTTAAAGTGAGTCCGGGAATATTAAGTGACAAAATCTAAATAATTAGATTAGGTTGAGCTTCGAACAAGAATGTGAGAGTTGGAAGCAGGAGTGAGATATCACAGGGATCTTTATATCTGGATAAATTACTGACATGAGCTGACAGCTCCTTGACATCAGGGATGGATAGCTGACAAGTCCTGACAGCCAGATAATAAAGCGCCGCCATTTCTTACTCAATTAAAATTCCACAAGTTTTTTATCAGCTTGATTGAGAAAAACTATCATCGCCCCTCTAATCATTAATCTTGTTATTCCTTTATATGTCAATATCTCTCTTTCTAACTTACTCCCTATGACACTATTTTCTTTTCACAGTAGTTAATCCTTATTCTTTTATTTTACTTAAGAAACTGAGTTTTTGCCACAAACTCAATTTTTCTTATCATTATATGTTTGAAGAGTGTACACCTGTCATATTTCAAATTTAGATTATTTGATCTAACAGAATTCATAGTTTAAAATATCAAAGGTCTACAGCGTTTGGTTTCAAAGGTACAGGGATTAGAAAATCAGTATTTATGGCAAAAACTCAGTTCCATTAAACTCGTCTTTTATAGTCTCTACATTTCTCATTCTATTTGTTCTTTTAATTTTATTTGAGTTTTCTTATTTTCTTTCCTTTTTTTCTCCGATCTTTCTTTGATTTATTGATCCTCTTTCTTTTATTTTTTTATCTTCTCTTTTTATACTCGCAACTTCTGTACGCTTGCTTTCAATTTCCCCTTCATTTTCCATTTTCTTTTCCTCCTTTGTACTTTTCTAAACTTTTTACCCCCCCCCCCCCTGTGGACTGTAGAACGAATCTATAGTACTGAAGGATGAGTACAGAGTATGAGAATGTACGGAGTACATGTTTGGAGACTGGAGAACTCTGGACTGATCCAGATTTTCCCGCCAATAATTCAAGTCTTTTCAGGCAGCAAAATCATGCTTAATCAAGCATTTCCAATTTTTGTTTTTTAATTATTCATGCAGCAGAACAAAGTCAAATTTTAAAATGAGATTTATTTATTATTTGCTTCTATTTTTAATGTTTGATTAAGCACCCCAAATTTGTCAAGAAAGGAATTTAGTCTTGCAGAAACTCTAATTTTCTAATCCATATATTTTTGCCACCTTAAACATTTCAAACTATAAATTCTGCTGGATCAAAAAATCTAAGTTTGAAATATTAAAGATTTACATCATCAGATTGAGTTTGTGGATAAGATATATTTTTTTAATCAAATATTTCGTAAATGTGCTAGATTTGGGGGTTAGATTCAAAGTGCAAAGGTTTAAATTGTTTTTGCACCATAGAGATGCAATTTTCTTGTGCAACTTGTGTGAATTAAAATCCCCTACTGTCAGGACTGTATAAGGGGAAATCTAATTACTAAAACACAATGAATTGTATAATGTATACACTATACACTATACACTATACAGTTTTATTTGGTTTAATCTAATTTTATTCTCCAACTCTCCATTGTTTAAAATAAAATATTTAATATGGTTTGCTGGTAGACATGGTAAAAATCAGCTAAATATTGTCTGGAAGAGACCAAAGGTAAGCAGAAACTTTAATTTTAAATTTAAGGATAATTTAGGTTCAAAATAATTTAGATTTTGTAAGGTGTAATGTTAAAATACCTCAAAATAGTAAAAAAGTTAAAAGAAATTTAAAATACTAGGCTTTTAGGGCGCTTCGCGCCCATCTTCTATTTAAATTGTGAACATGTTCTTTTTGTTTACATTTTAAAACAAAGAAGAAAAAAATAAACATGTTCACAATTAATTTAGGAGATGGGCGCGAAGCGCCCTCTAAGGCTAGAAAGAAGGGCGCGAAGCGCCTTGAATTTCTAGTATATAGATAAATTACTACAACAAGAAATCACCATAAAAATATAAAAGAAAAAACTATCTATTTAATACTGATTATAAAATTAAAAGTATTAAAAACACAGATGGGAAGAATATATATGAAAATACTCAAAGAAAATCTATTAATTAAGTTCTTTAAAAATTTGAATTTGAAATACAGAGAATTTAAAAATCAACCTGTTGGACGTTATATTCTTGAAGTTTAGGTCGTTATATTCTTGAAGATTTAGGTCGTTAAAATTTCATCCTTTGTATTTAACCCAAGCTGTTTTGTTTCAAGCTTGAATTAATAAGTTTGAAATGAGGTCGACCATTAAAGCATGCATGAAGTAAAATTGGCTTATTCTGCTAAATCTATTTGGTTGATCATGACTGGACAATAAAGATAAAAGTAATCTCAGGAATTAATTTCTAAAAATTTTAAAAAACATTTTAATTTAAAATTTTGATAGAAAGCTTTCTGTATGTTTCGGTTAGTTATGCTAGAGTTCACTTTCCGATTCATTAAAGGCCTAGCTGCCTGACTGCCTGGCTTCTTTAAGTCTGTGTAGTCAAGCAGTTTTATTTTGCTTTGACGGATTTTCATGTTTTGTTTACAAAAAGTACACACAAGATATGCGTACACAAAAACAATAACAACCCACACACTGAAACCAACCTGTCAAATTGTGCTGTCATTTCACTCGTCAGGTTTATCGTCGACCACAAACTTTACATATTTAATCCTTGTTTCTTTGCAACCAGTGTTTATGATTCATTTCAATTTGATGCGGATCCGCGATCCACACTGGGAAAAAATGGATCCCGATCCAGGTTTTTTTTTCTTAATTTACTGAATTTTTTTTAACAAATTAGAATTTTCAAATTTTTTGTCTATTTTTTCGCTTATTTTTATGCTTAAACTTGATGAACCATCCAGAAATAAGGAAATTTTCATAATCTCTCTTTTTCTCAATAGTTCAGATTTGGGTTTTGAGAGTAAACATTTTTTTTGCAGTTTTTGGTTGATATTTTGCCCCGGATTCTTGGATCTGCATATTTTTGCGGATCCGGATCTGGATACAGGAAGCAAAAAACTTGCGAATCCAACGTATCCGGATCCGGATTCTAAGCACTGTTTGCAACCTAGAATGTTGGAAAGTTTTTTAATACCGAAATTTTAAAAAAACAAATAAAACCAATATTTGAAATTTTCCGGATTGTTTGAAACAATGAATGAATGAATAAATTTAAAATAATGCGCAAAAACTTGAGAAAATTTTCAATTATGAAAATACACTCAAATACCTATAAAACACTTCATAAACAATTTGCATCATGCATTCAACCTTCGTAAGAGAAAAAATTAACAATTTAATCGTTCATAAACTAAATAGAAAGTATTATAAAATAAATTTATCTTGTTACTCATATCAGGAATTCAAAACAGTTTTGTTCTCAATAATCTTCAATTAGAGAAGTTATGATTGAAAAGATTTATTCCCTTGGGACATTAGGTAAATTAAAATTCGCTAAAACTTGCTTGTAAATTATCTAGTTGAAAATAATTATTTCTAACTCGAAACGAGAGAAATTTTAAAGTTATATATATTTTGTAAAGAGTTTCGATTCCTGTACTTATGCGTTCTGAAGGAAAAGTAAAAAAAAAGACATTTAGTATTGATAAAAGTGCTTACAGTGGATATCGAGAACAAACATTTGGGATTATATAGGTATTCAACACAAAAAAGTTCCAGCACTGTTCAATACGATATCAGATAAGATGGAAAGATAGATTACAAGACGGATATAGGAACAGGATGACAGACAAAAAGATATGAATATAATTGAATAAGAAGATAGACATATAGAGATAAATATATGGATTGATAACAAGATAGAAATAAAGATAGATAGATATATAAACAGATAGAAATATAGACAGATATAGATTGTTGATATGAAGTAGCTTGATACTTTCACCACTGATTCCCATGATTATCTGAGGGTTTAAGGACTGCAGGCTGCAAGGTGTATTCTGTTCTTAAGTGGTAGCTTTATTTCTGCCATTTCTAAGTATAATAGGGGGGGGGGGGCGGGAGGAGGATCATTGCAACACCGAGAAAATAAATACAAATTGGGGATATGGGGCGCTTTCATACTAAACTTAGTTTAACCTTATAAATTATCCAAAACTCCATTTTGAACACCAGGAATTCCATTTTAAACACCCAGAATTCCAGTTTGAATATCCCGAATTCCAGTTTGAATATCTCGAATTCCAGTTTGAATATCTCGAATTCCAGTTTGAATATCTCGAATTCCAGTTTGAATATCTCGAATTCCAGTTTGAATATCCCGAATTTCAGTTTGAATATCCCGAATTCCAGTTTGAATATCCCGAATTCCAGTTTGAATATCCCGAATTCCAGTTTGAATATCTCGAATTCCAAATTGAATATCCCGAATTCCAGTTTGAATATCCCGAATTCCAGTCTAAACATCCAGAATTGCATTTAGAAACCCATTCAAAAAAATAATATGTTTAAATCCGAGGAGAAAGAAAAAGAAATGTGCAATGATAAATGATATAAATCTGCAAAATCCTAAAGGGAAGTTTGCTTTAATCTAGAATCTAGATCTACGCTGATGAAAGATATGAAATGCATTGGCAAGCATTGTTGGCTGTTTGACAGGCTATAATGCATTATAATGCATTCACATTGTATATGCAATGACCCAGATCTTTTGTGTAATACCACCGTGCGATTATTCAAAGGATCAAAAATTGTGTGTGACGGAAGGGGGGGGGCAAATCATTTATTAGAAAACATATTTGTGAAAAATTTTCTAAGATACTTTTAATTTACTTTTAATGTTTTTCAAAACTTTATGGAAAAATGCACAAGTTTTCCTGATTTCTTGATTGATTTCTTGTATTGATGGTTGGCACCTAGCAGCTAAATAGCTAAGAGGTTGCTAGGAGCTAGCTTCAAATAATTTTGGTTGTATGTATCTAGAAGAATAGAAAAAAGTCTATAGCAATAGGATTTGGTTACATCTTACATGTTGTTGGTAGCTATAATATGTAGTTAGTATCATTGTAATTTAACTAGTATCTATGATTGTAAATAGCTATGCAGTAGCTTGAAGCATGTTGTTACTTGCTTGGTTACATAGTTATATGTAGATAGTGACTAGTTGCATATATCTAGCTTTTGAATTTAGTAGCTAGCTGCGCCTATGATCTGGTTGAATATATCTAGCCTGTTCTATCTAGAAGTTGGTTTTTTGTAGCTAATAGCTTAGTAGCTTATTGTATTTTATTACATTGTAGCTATCTAGAAGCTAGCATTTTGTAGCTATTAGCTGGTTTTATGTACTAACTTGGTAGCTATCAAAAAGCTAGCATTATGTAGCTAGTAGCTGATTGTACATAGTTACATAGCAACTAACTGTAATTTAGCATAACCATGACCTATGTCCTCTTAGACTCCTCTTCACAGGAAGATAGAAGAAATATATACCCAGACATTAGTGAGGGAAAAGGGAAGGATCAAATGGGAAGTTGGGAGGGAAGAAGAGGCGAAAGGGGATAAGAAACATAAGGAAATAGTTCGATTATTAACTAAGCAAAGGCAATCCTTTTACTCCCCACTAACAATATCCCTTTCCATTGTTACGATACTTCGTTTTGTTAAATTAAAGTCTCTTAGGCCATAGTGTTCCGGGGTCTATTGGGTTCCTGATGGCGTATTGGGTTCCTCATGCTACCGGGTTCCTGCAGTGTACTGGGTTCCTTGTGTATTTGGTTCCTGGTGTACTTTGGTTCCTGGTGAGTGGTGTACTTTGGTACCTTGTGTACTGGGTTCTAAGTGTAGTGGGATGTTCAAAAGATAACATGGGTTCTATCTTTGAGGTGTTGATGGTTAAAGATGTAATGTGGGTTCCTTGGCTTTCGGTCATTATAATTCATTAATTCTATCAAGTCATTCTAATTCATTATATTGATTGATTAAAACTTAAATATGTCATCAGGTTACATGGGGGAAAATATTGTTATGGGAACTATGAAGGTTATGCCCTGTTAATCTAGAAATAATTGCTGTTTTCTCAACTTCATGTCATAAAGTTTAATAATTTCTATCCCGGTCCTATCCAGATTGCATCTTCTTATGCCTTCTGATGCCCGCAAGCATGGCTCTAAAATCATAAGAATTAAATTTAGAGGAGGTAAGAGGTCACAAAGTTATTCCAATGATGTCGTATGAATTCGACCTTTTCCCTCTGTCTATAGATTGATCCTCTATCTTCATATATCGGGAATAAGATTACATATTTAAGAACTATTTAAATATTCTGGCATCAACTTCCTCATTAATAATAGCAGTGCAACAACAAATTTTTATGTTAAGTACAATGTACAATATAAACAGTCATTCTAATTATTTACATATATACGTCTTCACATGTATAGCCCACCTTTTCCCATTCCTTCCTGTCCAATGCATTTCACTATTATTATGCATCTAAGCTATTATAACCAAGTATAAAAACATTAAGGTATATCAAATTTACATTCAACCGATGCAGTGCTGTGGTATAATTTGCGCAATTTCTGCATTGAAACAATGGCGTCAAATCTAAAACTTTCTCCCGGACTGTTTTTTGGTTCTAATCTTTACCAATTTTTTCTCACAGACAAAC